TATCATATATTTTAAATTAAAATTAGATAATATCATATATTATTCATGACCAATCATAAAATATTATATATTTTAAATTAGGCATGAGATAGAATCAAATCTTATTTTAATAAAAAAAGATAAATCATATTTAATCTTCCGTGATTATCCTAACAACTTAGGAGATTCTATCCTAATTACTAGCCAATCAAATAATTTTAAAATCAATTATATCCTAATCTAATTATGGAATAATCACATTATTTAAATAAATTATTATCCTTTCGGAATATGCTCCTAATATCCTAATCAATCTTATCCAAAATTAACCACTTTAATTATGGATAATTACCAATTTAACAACTTTAAATATGGATAATATCAAATATAACAACTTTGAATATTTGATTTTATTCTAAAACAAAAGATTTTATCCAAAAATAATTTTGTAATTATCTTGAAATATTTTTCAAAAATAAATTTTTTTTTACATCGAGCACCACCACACCGACCACCGTGGTTGTCTAGCGAAAGCTAGCCACAGTGGTTGGTTGCCATAACAGCTGCCACTACCGCAAGGACAACAGCGTAGCAGCAGCTCTTGCTTGGCTGCAAGCCACCTTGCGTGGCCAGCCACGATAGCTGGCCACCTTACGGCAGCCACCGCCGCAAAAGCAGCAGTAATAGCAGCACTGCAGCCGCGGCAGCAGCTGTGCAACGCTTGCACACTGCTGCCCACGCCCAGTGGACCTCCTTCCCTCCCCTTCCCCTCCTTCTTTGTCCACCATCTGGTCGACAGTCGCCGTGGCTGCGCCACCCAGCTGCGGCTGCCGGCCTTAAAACATTTTTTTTTCTTTTTTTTTGTTTTCAATTTAATTAAAAAAACTTTTATAAAAATTAAAATAAATCAGTCCAAAATTAAAATAAAATCAACATTCACTATTAAAATTAGGGTTCATCATAAAATTAATCCCAATTTAATTCTAACTTTTAAAATTAAATCGATGATCATACATAAAACATTTTTATATAAAATCAATCCATTAAAATTATGAAACATGAAACAATTTGAATTAAATCAAAATCAAGCACAAAAATCATCATTTACGGCTAGGATTTTCGAAATAATTCAAAATTAGGGTTAGGGTTTTTTGAAAATCCGAAACTAGGGTTCTAGGGTTTGAAATTTTCGAATACTCTAGGGCTTAATTCGGTCCTCTTCATGGCTATTTTGAGCATAATTAAATTGCATTTAATCAATTTCAAAAGTTTAATCACATTAAAATTAACAATTGAACCATAATTAAATTAATTTATCCCTCTTAAATAATTATAAAATTAACATGGACTTCAAAATTAATCGTATTAATATGATCAAGCGCGTTCATGCAAGAGGCTAACTGATACCACTGTAGGAATTTATAGGTACTACGCATAATCATACCTTCGAAACATGAATTCCATGTAGCAATTTGATTGACAAATCAAGGAGAGAATAGAGCCCCAAGCGTTGCTCGTCTACTTAGTCCACGAGCTTCGAACGAGTCGTCCTCCAATACTAAATTGTTCGACTGATTAAGGAAAAACTGCGATCACCACCTTTAATAGAGTAAGCCGACCACCACGAACCATCACCACCACGAACCACCACAACCGGCGTCGATGGAGAAGAGAGTGCCATGAGAGAGATGAGAGTTTGAGAGGGTTTGGTCTCGTGTTTGCTAATTAGGGTTTGATCTCACTAATCAGTTAATTACATACATCCAGCAAACCCTAGGCACCTAGTCTATTTATAATCACATTATAATTATATTAGGGTTAGGAAGCCCAAAACCCTCAACCTTACTCCTCATGGCCGACCATACTAGGGGATGAGGCCCATCTTGGGCCTCGTCCTCTCGTGCCCGATTTAGACCCTTTGTGTGACCTTATAGGATCCGTCTAATTGGGCTTTGGGCTATTTTACTAGCCCAAAGATCGTCAATACCTTTAGCTATGATAAAACGACGAACCAAATGTCTAAACTTAATTATCTACATAATTTGATCCATTTATATATCTAGTAATTGCACACGATGAAGACATAAATCCTTCATACGTGTGAGGGTTTCAAGTTGGTGGTGGGATAAGGTGGGGGGTTTCAAGGCTTGTGAATGAGGAAAGGGTGGGAGGATTCAGCTAGTGCGTGGTGAGGTGTATTGGAGTTCTAATTTGGTGGTGTGGTGGGGTGGGGTGGAGTTCTACGCCGGTGGGGGTAGGCAGTGCCACGTGTTACAATCAATAACATACTGCCTCCGACCTCCATATTTTATTACTTGCTCTGCTTTCCATTTATGGCCAAAAATTTATTATTTACTCCATTTTCTTTTTTGAAAACATTTAACGTAATATTACTATTTTCCTCCTCACTACTCGTCTCCTCATATCATATTTTAGTATTTTTATATTCTCTCATCTCTCCACTACTTGTATTCACTCTTGTTTTTTCATATATATTTTTTTTAACTAACCCCAATTTTATCAAAAAATAATGATCCATCTATTTCATAATGTTAGTCTCATTTATGTCAATGCAAATCATTAATTGTAAATACCTTTAATCTCACACTAGCAAAAAAATTTCAGAATTAGATATTAATAAAATACTCATTGAAACGAATAAAACTAGATCTCATATGACTATGTCTGTTCTTATATAGAGAGAAACTTAGAAGACCTCCTTCAAATTTTTTATAGTAAAATAATTCTAAATGTGACTAATGAACAGAATACTTTTTACAATTTCTTCTAAGCCCTCTTCACCTTAAAATAATGTTCGGTAAATATAATTTAAGTTCTAATAATTTTAGTTTAGTAAGAAAGTAAGTTAAGTAAAAAACAATTTCAATTCATCTATATAATTAACTTCAGCTCATGATCTCAACCTAGATGACAACAAATGGACTCATCGTTGGATTTGATAGTAGTACCCACAACATTTATGTATGGTTGTTGCTTACGTGGGTGGCACTAGGCAAAAAACTAGATTGCCAAGTGTCGTTGTCTTATGACCTGGCTGCGAGACCGGCTTTATGTATTAGTGATATGATTAGTTACCACAACATTCTCCATAAACAGCGAATAGCCTCTTGTGGCACCTGTATTCTATGCAGTAGTCTCATTGAGACGATAAACCTCTATTCCTAACAATCTAACATGCTGCATGTCTCATTAAAGTTGTTTGGAATCATTCTATATATGGTTAAACAATGGTTAGATTGTACCATTCCCTGCAATGATTTAACAGAAGCATTCATGATTACAAAATTGCTACTAAGAAATTTGGAGTATTAATAACTTCCTCATTTGGAGTATTTGGAAAGAACGAAATTCCATCATGTTTAGGCAAGACTCCTTTGATATACCGAGAATTTACCACCGTGCGCATATTGTGTTCACTGAGTGGCATTATAGAACTTATACGAATACCTTTTGTCTCCTCGGGGTCGACTTCCCCCCCCCCCCCATTCTACCCATCCTCCTTCATCTAACTCCATCATGATTTCTTTGGAGGCACCACCCCTCAACTTCCACAAACTCAACTTTAATTTGACAGCTCGGTTCTCAACAAATTGGCAACAATATGAATCATTATCAGAGACAGTAGTGGGCAGGGATACCTTCTAGAGTGATTACCTTCAATCTCTGCAATACCATTGTCTTCATTGCTGAGGCAACAACTCTATTCCTTTGGCCCTTGAATTCAAAATAAGAATTTTCATATTGAAGGCACTAAATCTCGTTGTCATCATTCTCATCAACCCTCTCAAGGGCGCGCACTTGGTCAATTCCTTGGCAGATTAAGCTTGTCATTAGGGACATATGCACTCATCTCTCAAAAATTTGAAATATAATTGGAGCATACCTCATATTTTTTTAAGGCAAATCAGACAGCTAATTGAATAGCTAATGTAGGCCATTTAGTTAGTAATTGTATGGACATTATTTCTCGTAACAAATCTAGTCACTCTACTATTCTTTCCTTTGATACAATAGGAGTTCCCTAGGGTCTCCTAATGCCTTCTATTTTTCTACTTTTATAAGAAAAAAAAAATAATAATAAGACTCATACATCTAATAGGTATGACCCTCAAGTTTTGTTAACTACTGTTTAGCAATCACAACCACCCCAAGCTTAGTCCATATCCTTTCAATTATCTCAAAGTAAAGCACCTACATTTATCCTTTCTAAAGTCAAACCAACGTATTTGACTTTGATTATATCACTTTATTATTGAATTGAGCTTTGAAACAAAACTGATACACTAAATGTGATTGCCCTACCACAATGAACTGCTCCCTTCTTTAATTAAAAGTATGTCCTTTTTCATCTTTTTCCCATGTGAACTTCTTGCATGTCACAAAAGTAGAAGATTAATTATTCTATGTATGAATATTGAATATAATTACAATCACGATTTCATCACTCTCCGATAATCACTCAGGATGATATAGAAAAAGCACGTTAATTAAGCTTGTTTATTCTTGTTGTGCATCTGTGCTTTCCCTAAATAGTAACGTAGTTAATTAGTAGAATAAACTAAATTATCATCTATTTATGCAAATAATACTATCCTGTTAGTGTTATTATTTAATTTAAACTTTACACCTAAATGTGAGATATAGTATCGTTGCACCAATGGTAGACTGATCTCTCTACTTATCATTATTGTTAATTGGTTGTAATTATCAGAACTTATTAGAATCTATTTTTTTTTCTAATTCTATAATTACAGATATGGTTTAGTGGTGTTTAGAATAAAGAAGAGCATAATAATAATAATAATAATAATAATAATAATAATAATAATAATAATAATAATTAATAAAAAGGTCTGAAATTTGCTAATTTAGAAAGTGAAGTTATGAACCAATAGAGTTAACAGATGAAAAATTGTGACTGTGTAAAACATACTTCAAAATATCGATATTTACATAACTAAGCAATATAATACATTATCCTACAAGTCTATAACTAGATGTGTCAAAAATCATCAATTGATGTTAAAATACTTTGATCTAATTCAAAATGAACCGATTTAAAATTTAACTGGATATAATAGTTGTAATAATTTAGTAAAACTCAAATTAAAAATGACTCGACCCAATTAAACATGACAGAACCCGACATATGACTAGAATTGACACCTCTTCTTATAATAAAACCTTCTAGGCTTCTATGCATTCACCCACATACACAAACAAATACTCACTACTAAGTTGTATGCCACTGTTGGTACGGTAGTATATTCCAAGACTCTTTCACACATATTAATGAGATTAAATAACACGACAACACAAAGTCACGAGTTCGTTACAATTATAATCCTGTGGATTTCCAACGTACAATAACAACCTCCAAATGTTCAATCTTATTTTCATCATCTTGTGTTCACGGAGGCTGCAAAACTATTAACCAAAGCAAGCGCATTACTAGTGTACTCCTTCACAATCACTACCTTGTCAAACACTTCATCTTTCACCGGACACTCCCCGACGTCCTCGAATCCGTCCGTGCACGTATCCTCATTGGTTAGAGCCGCGCTCATCCACGTCTGGACATTACTGAGCTGGAACCTTACTGCCTCGGCCGAGGAGGACTCGACAGCCGAAGCTACCTGGCTCATCTCCTTGAGTGATTTATGTATTTGGTCAACGGCGTCTCCGAAGGTGGAGGAGCAGTCACGGAGGGCGGAGGTGGCCCGCGGGTCAGGCCCGTAGTCGGCCCGTTGGGTCGTGTTGGTGAAGAAGGCGGAGGCGTGGCGGGCCCGGCCTAGAGTGAGCCCGATGGAGATACGGGCTAGTTGGGCCGGGTCGAGACGCACTGCATTGGCGTAGCGGGAGAGGGAGGTGTAGCATACGTCGGGGTAGAGGGTGGTGTTGCAACTCGATCGAATGAAGTCGAAAGAAGTGGCGGTGGCGGGCGGAGTGGCGGCAGAGGTGGGGAAGGAGTGTGTATGGTGGAGGAAGAATGTAAGGAAGAGGAAAATAAGTTGAGAATGCATGGTTGTTTAGAAGGATGAGGTTTTGTTTGTTTTTTTGACAGTTATGTATTTTAGAGGGACAAGAAGAGTTGGGCTAAATTTGGGGATTGGAGCATTTTATACATAGAATTTTATGAAGAGAATGTGAATGTAAAGTGTCGTCTTTCTTTGCTGTAATTAATTTGGTTTGTATGAATAACTTTTTATGTGATTATGTTGGTTAGATGTTTTCTTGTTTATTTTGTTAATGTTAATTTGTAATGATTGGAAATAACCATGTTTTGCCCATTTAAGAGGATAACAATTAAAGTTTTACAAACAATTCCAATTGTGATGTGATACCTTTCTAGCTCCCGTGAATGATCTTCAATTCGTCACGGATTATTGTAATTTGGGGTCATTATATGTGGTGGTCAATTTTATTGATTTTGATCGTAAATTCTCACTAGGAAGAATATCAAGAAAATAGTAATATTGATGCTTCCAAAAAAAAAAAAAATTGAGATTTTATTTAATTTTTTGAAAGATGATTTTGGTAAATTTACTAACTTTGAAAAAATGTAATGAACATATATTTTGATATATTAATGGAATGTTAATCTACTTTATGTCTCTACAAGTCATTAAACTAACTTAGGCCCTGTTCTTTTGAGATTCTGGGCAGAGCAGAGCAGGGGGTCACTGGAGCAGAGCAGATTAAATTTCAGCAGAGCAGAGCAGATTAAATTTCAGGAGAGGAGAGCAAAGCAGAGCCGAGCAGAGCAGATTTCAACATTATTATTAATACTATTATTAATGTTATTATTATTAATGTTGTTGTTGTTGTTGTTATTATTATTATTATTATTATTATTATTATTATTATTATTATTATTATTAACTAAAAACCTACAAAGTCAATCAATTTACAAGAAATTGGTGGGAAGCCGAGATACAATCTGGGCCCCACCCCTCTAGCTATAGCAAACCCGATCCTACTAAAAATGTGAGCAGCTGCACGAGCACCAATATCCTGAGTCTTAGCGAACACCTGTACCCGCTTCAGTAACGCAATAGCATCCTTCTCTAATTCCCCCAATGAAGAAAAAGGAGAAAGGAAGTAAACCATAACCAATAGCTCTGCAACGCGCCCCATACTTGTCCCGCTTCCGCTGAGCCGCCGCCGACACAGCACGACCAAGAACGAAATCAAACAACCTCAATTACGTCAAAGGTGAAGACCCCATCAAATCAACACATACATCAAGGCCTCTATCCCAGGAATAAAGCAACACATCTGCTGGTCGTAGAGCCCCGTCGTCCTCTCCAGAAACCCAACGTTAACCTCCTTTCGAGCAGAAATCCCAGACCGAAAACAAATATCAACAAGGGTGTCATGAACAACGTTGTGCCGATGTTTAATACCCACCATCCCAGCATAAGACACTTCATGATCCCCATAAATTCCCCATCAAAAACCCTTGAGCAATCAGAACACGGTGTTAAAATGAAGAATAAAGGAACACCCAGCCGGTAGCAAAGAACACTACGGTAAGTCTTACCATTCATAGTCTGACCCAAACCTGATATCGGGACCGTCCGCAACCAGGCCGAAGAGTAATCCCCCTGTTGGGACTTCCATAAGGCAACTTGACGCGGAGATAAGGAGAAAGTGGATTCCGCAGATGCAGTGACCTTCGTGAAATATATATATCTGTCAATCTTTTCATGAGTCTAGGGGTAGCGATCTCACTAGGGTTACTCATAAGATTAGTCTCCACAGTCCTGTTATAAAGACTAAGAGCATCATCGAAGTCTGGTCCCGAACCAACAATACCAGAATTACGAAGAAGCGTAGCCTGAAGACTGGAGACGCGACGCAAGGAAAGCAACGTTGACATGGAGTCCAAGACGAGGTCCCTCCGCCAAAATCAACTCCAAAACCTTTCCTACCACCAAGGTATCACCAATAATGGTACCGTCATCTAAATACCAAGCTTGCAAACATAAGTCAAAAGAATCCCTAATTTGGTACACTAACGGGTGAAGAACCAAAGCAAAAAGCAAAGGGCCTAGAGGATCACCCTGTTGCACTCCCTAACATGACCATAAGATATGGTCCCCGTAAAACAACCTGGCTAGAGTAGAGTAACAGAATTCAACCCATCGCGAGAGAGAAGGACAACGGAGTTGAACCTTACGCAACAAAGCCGAGCAATCTAACAAATTAAAGGCATTCTGGAAATCCACAAGCAACATTGAGAGGCCAACATCACCACCACGCGACTCAACCAAACAATTAACAGCATGAAGAATAGCCTCACCACCCGCCGGCACCCCAACACCAAACTGAAGACCTCCTAGATAGCTTCCCAGACGCGGACCAATCAAAGCAGCCCTAACCTTTGAAACCAGACGCCTCCAAACGGTACCCACAACAATAGGCCAAATACCACCACCAGGCTTAACAAGGGGCGTAAGAGGAGCACTAGCAATGTATTCTCCCAACTCAGCAGGACATTTTCAAGCGAGAAAAAGATTAACCACCTTTGTAATAGAGTCCACCAACTCATCCGAAATAGCAATAGCAGCACCACTCAAACAATTCATAAGGTGTTGCGCACGCAATCCCAACCAAAGCACGAAAAAGTCGTGCTCGTCATGCTGCTTCTGTGAGGTCTCTCACGTCCTCCACTCATGAACCACATGAGAGTCTTGTGTTTGGTTCATTAGAGCCTATCATCCACACAAACTCATCCTTCGATCACTCTTATGAAGGACATGAGAATGAGTTTAGTTTGAGTTCACCTGAACCTACTTTTGTTGCTGTTATGGTGATGCATACTAAGACGGTCGAACAACAACAGGCTGAAATGAGCAGTACTGTAGGGAATAAATTTCAAGCTTTAAATCCCACTAGCTTAAACCCCACTGTGATCATACACTAAAGTACAGTAGCGTTCAAAAGGGAAGAAGATAGAGCAAAAGAGTCGCCAACAAGTTTTAGGAACTTGTAAACCGTTCATAGGATGAAGGTTACACCCCTTAACGATCCAAGAGATCGTCAACTCCATAAGGTCTAGAACCAAATAAGGGTTCGGGGATGAAGGTACAAATACAACCTAAAAGAGATTGAACCTACCCTAATAATAGGCCTCTACTTTATTCTGATCGTATTCATGTGCGCTTTTTAATTAACATGCAATCAATAGGTTTAACCCTAAACCTGTTTATCTACGTTGGTTGAATATTAATGCACAAATAAATCTATTATTGGCGATCACTTGAGATTATAATCAAAATTAACCCTAACAAGATTATTAATATCTTATTAAGCGTGATTACAAGTACCAATTCCCTTTAACATGCATAAAAGGTGTGATCAAGCAATAAAAAATAAATAAATATCAAGCAACATAATAAATAATCAATATCATGAATAATAATTATAACAATTATAATCATAATCATGTCCATGTTAATATTAAAGCATAATAATAATAGCAAGATCCTAGGCATGATACTAACAAGATTAATAACAAACCCTAGCATGTCACTAAGCAATAAAAATCAAATCTTTAGCCCTAACATGATACTAACAATCATAAATATTAGGAAGAACATAGGAAGCATCATAAGAATCATATTTAATATTAAAATTACCCTAGACATGATACTAGGAATATCATAATAATAGTATAAACATGATTTCTACATCATAAAATTAATTAAAACCATTAAAGCACTTACTTTGATGCCTCGTACCTCTTTCTAATAACAAAATACACACGTTAGTAACTTCAAGGAAAATAATAATCAAAACAATTAAATTAAATAATTGAAATAGAGATTTGGGACCAAACCCTCAGAAATTAAAACCTTTCACGTCTAGGGCGAAGGCAACTTCGAATATGGCTAGGTGTTTCTAGATCTTGCGAATGCGGAATTTTGTATGAAAAAAGCTAAGTTTAGAGAAAGAAAAAAAGATGATTTGATGAATGAATGAGAAAATTAATGAATGATTGTAAGCGAATGCTAATTAAAATTGATTGTAGATGAGAACTCGTGAATGATGAGAATTGGTGAATGAAAATGGAGTTTTTAATACGTTATTTATAGAGAAAATCAGCCAAAAAGATAAAATTAACAAAACAGAGTCTGACGCACAAAAAACAAGATTGGCGCAAGCCCTGGCTAACTGGCACTAGGCACCAACACTAGCGCCAGGAGCCAATGGCTAGCGTCAGGCGCCAGGCCTGGTCCCAGGCGCCAATGCCTAGGGTCAGGCGCCAAGCCTGGTTTTAACGCGTTTTCGAAAATCAGATAAGTTTGCTGTAATGGAGGATAAAATCATATAATTTCCTCGAAAATGCTATTTGATTTTAATTAAAACTCTGAAAAGTCAACAAAAGTCAATTTATCAATGCTAATTGAATTAGGAATGAAAAGAATCTTCTAGAAGAATATAGAAGACTAAAACCATTCCTAATTGCATTAGGAATGATAAATCATATTAGGCCCTCCTCTATATCATTGGGCCGCATATAAGGCTCAAACCGGGCCCAGTTTGGTAAATTGGCCATAACTTCCTCAATATTCATCGGAATTGGGCTTATAATATATCGTTGGAAAGATCTTGTCAAGCCCCATCCAACTACACTATTATTGGGCCCATATCATGGACCAACCAAACTAGATTGGCTGTTTTCTTTAAAATAAGTTTTCAAAAACAGAGAGAAGAGAAAAGAAATTAAAACTATCCGCAACACTAGACTTTCCACACTTTCACTTCATTCGATTATGATTCGACGTGAAAGGTACTCATCACCAGGTTTGGTTTTGGGGAGACACAAATGGGTGTCTACAGAAGCCCCCACTTTGACTGAGTTTGGAGAAACGTAAGTTTCGAAAACAAAAGTCAAAGAATCGGTAGGGACGGAGAATGATTCAGAACGTTCTGCGATCCTAAACCACTCTTGTAACACCGATACCTCCAAAACTAGCATTAGTTAAACAGATAAAAGAGTTAAGAAACGCGTATCTTGCACCGTCGAGCACACGTCTCTGAAAGTAACCGATTGTTGCTGTCGCTTTACTGTTTTGATGACCTCCTGCAAGCTAGAGAATGCCATCCCGCTTGAAAACTGGTACGCCTGTAACTACTTCCAAATTATAAGATTGCTTCGCCTGAAACGATCCTCCTCCGCTATTATAATATTCCAAGTCCAAGGGAATACCATCGAAAATTATTTCTCTCGAAACAATCCTCATCCGCATTGATAATATTCCACGTCCAAGGGAATACTATCGAAGATTATTTCTCTTGAAATAATCTCCATCCACATTATG